TCTTTTTTTTTTTTTTTTTTTTTTCATCCATCTATTAATAATAATGGATAATTCAGGTTCTGGGATTTTTGTGTTCCTTTTTACATATTTCAAAGTTGGGCGGCTATCCACGAGTTGTACCATTTTTACGACTTTATTCATACCCCAAGAGCTTGCTTCCCACCTTCTTTCTCTCGCCCTTTTGACTAAAACTAAGCCGCCTTTTCTCTCTCTCTCTCTCTCTCTCTCTCTCTTTAATTATTATTATTTTATCTGCTTTGCAATTGATGCCCGTGTCCATCATATATTTCTCGCCTAAACCAAACAAACTTGGGCATATTTGTCAAAATTATGTATATATGGGCTTGGGCCAAACTACTGTGAAGGCCCAAATTAACCTCTCCAACCCAACCCCGTCTGGCCCATATATGAATAATACTCAAACCTCAATACCAGACGTCCACGTCATTCGCGAGAAAAAGGGAGACGGTAAGACCTTTCAAGAAACTTCCACAAACGCGTTTGATGAAATTTCTTCGCCTCTGTATGAATGATTCCACCGCCCTTTGGCGTTTCTTCCATTTCCATGCATTTTCTGTTTTCACACACAATTTATTCATATATAATCTACAAACGCCATGGCTTCTCCTAACTTGCATTCGAATCCCATTCGTAAACTCCATCGTATCTCTGCGATTCTCAGCTTGGTTACCGGCGTGTCGTTGTCGTTGATTTCCCGTCATGAGTCAAGAAATGGGCAGTAAGTTAGAGGCGGGGCCTTATGTTGCAGCTCCACCCCCGGTTGGGTATCCGGTGAGAGACGGCCCAGAGTACCCTCACCAAACTTCTACGCCACAGACGCAGTCTAGGGGAGATGGGTTCTGGAAAGGATGGTCAGTCTCTAAGTTTTATTACTTCATAAAATTTTTGTTAAATTAGATGATTGATTCACTGAACTTGTGGTTGTGTTTGATGTGTGTTTTGTAGCTGTGCTGCGTTGTGTTGCTGCTGGGTGTTGGACTGTGTGTTCTAAGAGTGACGGGGTTGGCTATTGGATGAGACCCATTTATTTATTTTTTGTTATTCTTTTATTACATACGCTTTCTTGTTATTCTGTATTATTCTATTTTCTGTGTATTAATAAATAAATTTTGTTATATAATTCAGTTCATATTTTCTATTATTTCGTAAAAAAATTGTAAATTCCATTACAAATATCTCTAATAGGTTACAAAACTTAAGCTTCGGTGACAAAAGAATGTAATTTTTATTTCGTGTCCATGGTTAATTATTAATAGTCATCTTTGCTGAATTAGTATTTAAATGTCTATTATAGAATGAGAAATGTGCACAAATAGCTATCATAGGCTCCAATATGAACGGCGGATGGGAGATCCCACGTCAGTTGAAGGGAGAAATAAAACTATTACGTTAACTAACGGGCCAAATAGGCCTTATCTGCTAGCAGTGGACTTTGACTGTTACAAGAGCAAGTATAGACTTTGGGTGTCACAACCTAACATTAGTTGTGCCCCAAATAAGTCATTGAGCACGATGACTAGTTTAAGTGGGGGAGAATGTCACAACTTAACTGTGAAGATAGTAAGTTGTGACCCTCACGTTGCGACAAAAGAAGCAGCGACCCTCAAGTGGCGCCCATCTGGACATGCGAGGGCCTAGACAAGCGGCATGATGCGACCGAGGAGAACAGTGCAGCATCTAACACACCACACGGAGTGGGCATTGAAGACAAGTTGAGATATAAGCAAGATAGAGACATTAAATAGACAAGAGGGGCAAAGATAGGCTTGTTGAAGGGTCAGGTAGGGTCTCAAGCCTTAACCTCGAAAGTCGGGGTTTCGAAAGGAATTTGGGTATGTGATTCTGGAGTTAAGTCTGTACATATGAAATATGAATGCTTGCCAAGTTTAGTGTCAATCAGACACAGGACGAACGCTGCACACACGATACCATATGATCGTTTACCAAAATCATGGCTATGCTTGGAATATTGAAAATGGCTCAAAATGTACTGTTGGTGTACCATGGTGTTAGCACTTGGCCTTATGGCCTAAGTGAGCTACCTTGTGGCACATACGTGTGTCACAGTGTGGGCGAGTGTCTCGGGCGACTTACTTTGAAATGGGTTTTTCAAGGACAGTACCGGGCGGCACGAGTGTTATGGTATTGCGCCCCAACCCACATGTTGGAGGTTGCTACGTACACACGCTATCCGGCACGAAATCCGTTAATGACACGACATGGGCACGGGAGGGCCAATGCCTCGATAGAACCTGAATGGATCGATGTTCGGGAAGTCTCGAGGAGATGAGCGACACGCGGGCCCATTCTCAATAGCATGAATGAACGAATTGCGATGGTCGACGACATCCCGAGAATTGGGATTGGGTCAAGACATATGGACCATATCGATGAGGATCGAGATGACAAGATGAGATGCAACGTTGCATTGAGAGACCTTGGGCCCGAGCAAAGATAAGGTCGAGCTGAATGATAATAGGCCTCTAAGGGGAGAGAAATATTCGTTATAAAAGTGCGGAAATCTATTAAACATGTTTTAATAAAATCGCGAGGCTGTAACTAGCCAAAACAACCCCCTCGAAAGTAAACCTATGCATTGTTGGCTAAAAAGATCAATTTCGAAATTTTAAACTAAAACTAAATAAATAGATAGAGAATGAAAGAAAAAGAAAAAGAAAATATTGAATGTTATAATTTCCCTTTAAATTACGTGGGTAATTATGTAAGTTCAGAAAGTTCATATTCCTTGGACTAAAAAAAAAGAAAAAAAAAGTTCACCTTCTTGGCTGTTGGCGCCAGAAAAAAGGAGCGAGAGAGCAAAATAAAAGCAAGTCTGAAACATTGCTGTTGTTCTTCAAAGCTTATTCTCTGATCCATTCTGTCTCCAACCCGAGAAAAGCGAGGTACACAAATTACTGAAAGGGCTCTGTCTTCTTCCCCAAAAGCATCAGCCAAAGCTAAAGGGCCATTTGACACCCTTTTCGCCCTCAATTCCTTCTCGAACTCCAAAGCATTTCAATCATCCAACGTACAGTTCCAATTCTTTTCTTAGTCTCGGAGCAATCCAAAAGTTCCCCCCCTTCCGATTGCCCCACCTCACACTCAAAGCATCTCTCCGCTTCCTTCTTCTATACTGCATAAACATGCTCCTCCCCGCTTTCTTCCGCATTCCCACAAACTTACACTCACCCACACTTACTGAAAATTTGACTGGTTTATCAAATCCATCAGCTGGAAGAATTACTAGATTGCTGAGTTGGTTTGCGAAGCCAAGTTATGGCGAGTTCCAGTGGGAGCAAGAACGAGGTGGGCCCGCCTCGTTCCTTGTCTCGGCGGGTCACGCGAACGCCCACTCGGTTGGTTGAGTTGCCCGAGGACAATCCCGGTATTGACAGTGAGCTAGTGCCATCGTCGCTCGCCTCCATTGCCCCCATTCTCCGTGTGGCCAACGAGATTGAGACTGAAAATGCCAGAGTCGCCTATCTCTGTAATCACTCTAACCAAAATCATTGCATGAATGCCACTCTTCTTAGAGACCGATTGATTTTAGTATATGACATTTTCTCATGCTCTTGTTACATTGTAGCAAATGGTTGAAGTCGTGACATAGCTTACTCTTTTGCTTGAATTTTCTTGATCATTCGATGTTTTTTTTTATGATTTGTTTCTTTGTTTTCCCCCTAACTTATTATGGTGGTGGGAGTGGAGGGAAGTTGACCTGAACTTTCGATACTGCTACTAATGCCTGCAAGAACAAACCATTCCTCTCAATAAGAAATGCGAAAGTAGGAATAAAGAGAAGTAAGACGATGTTAGTGCTTTGGTTTAGGAAGTCTCCGTGTCATCACCAGAGAGAACGGTTGTGAAGAAGCCATATCAAACTATACACAACCAGAAACTACTGAATAAAACAATCTAGCCTCTACATTGTAAACTTGGAGACTTAGTTTTGAACGTTACGCCTTACATTTACTGGGTGAGGATGGAACCAATATGTTGATTAGCTAAAATTATGAAGAAAATGAATATAGAAGCACAAATCTTGTGTAGATGTAAGATGTAACTGGATGGGTTGTTTTTTTAACTCTTGTCCACCACAATAATCTGCTAGGATCATTAGCTTTGGAAGTGGAGCAGTTTTTCAATGAAATCATTTTGTACCTTGAAAAAGAAACTCTGGATATGACAATTTGACACAGGTATTGTTAGATGATACAAGAATATACAGAAAGAGGTTAGTTGGCTTTTTAGATGCTCATCTCTTCATCATCCCTCCAAATGGAACCAAACTTTTAATTTTGTACTCCGACAATGCCATCTGTCATTCCCAAGGAATTTAACGTTATTTTTTTTGCCCGTCTAAATGAAGGTGCTGAAGAAAGTGAAAGTGTGCATCCAAGTTAAACAAATAGTATAACCGTTTTGAGAGCCATATTAATATGACGAATAAAGAATCATTGCCAAAAACTTGAGCTCAAGGTGTTGGACTTCAGAAGACCTCAAAAATGGCACGGAGGATTTATCACCTGTTTTTGAACCACTTACTGGTCACCCACTGTCTATTTATGTTGTGCCTGATCATTAGAATACAAAATTTGACTCTCTTGAACTTGTATGCTTCTGTTTTATTCTTCACTTCCTTATTTTCCATGAGCAGGTTATTCGTGCTTGTTTTTGTCCAACTGATACTTGAGACACTCAGCTGTTAACTTCCATGAAGTTGTCTTTTAAGGATCACATTTGGACTTACTTGCATTCTAGCATCCAACTTCACAACTCACACGCTTGGGAGATCAATTGGAGCTCCATTTAAGTTGTATCAGTGACAATATAAAATATAACCAATATAGGGAGCAACGTGATACTGGTCTGGTGATTGATTTTGTGCCTACAATCACATCCAAATAACATCAACCTACAAAATAGTGATTTTGTGCTGATGAGGTTGACTAGACCATACATTCAATTTTTCTTACAGTGGCTCATCCGTGATTTTTGAGACAATGCCTATGACCCAGAATAGAATGGGGTTTTAACTACAAAAATTTTCATGTCTTCAGTGATGGTTAATTGAAGAGGCAGGGATGGTTTTTCTTTGCCACCACCATTCCTCTCTCTCTCTCTCTCTCTCTCTCTCTCTGATTTAGTTATCATCGCAAGGCAAGATTGTAACAGTGCCATCACTTGAACTGTAGGACTCCAATGATTCTTTTTCCGCCTATTATGACATTTCTAATCGCTAGAATACAATAATATGGCTTCATTGAATCATATTGGCATACATAAGACAGGTTCTTCCTTCATGCCAAGCATCCAAACCGTGGAGTTTGCAAGCGATTGTGTCAAGTGAATATTGACTTTGTAAACTTTTAATGTGCCTCTTTGTCCGTTTAGCCCCCTTTTTCATAATACAGGAGTTATATCTACCTAGTAGTCTACTGTGATATGAGTGGAAGAGCCCGCTTCTCATGAGTTGGAGAGCATGCTGAATGGATATTGAAAACTTTCATCTATTAACTCCCTCCTGCTGTTCAATTTTTTACCTTTTATCTTTGATCAGTAACATACTTGCAAAAAGTTTCCTTTGCGTAACTTCTTGTTCTGCAGATTTAGTACAAGAAAATTACATCTGGATCTTATTATAACTGTGCCCATGTTATTAAATGGATGGTGCAGATGATTTTGCTTTGATTCCTTCTTCAGTGATATTTAGCTAAAACCACGATTGAAAATTGTATTCCTTGTTACTTTTATTTGTAGGCCGCTTCCATGCATTTGAGAAGGCTCATAAAATGGATCCAACATCAAGTGGACGGGGTGTTCGACAATTCAAGACTTATTTGTTACACAGACTTGAAAAGGTATACCTTTTAATATCAAGCGTTTCTAGATATGGTCATTAAGTTAACTTTAATCCGCTCAAGTTTAGTACTTTCTAGATTTGGTAAAATAAGCAAACTTTTAATCAGTTGAAATTAATTACTTAAGCCAGTTAGTTACATTAATTTTTTTTTTTTTTTTTTTCCAATTTAAAGAATATGAAGCATAGACATTTGAGTGTTGGCAACATGTTTGTTAGAGACTCCAACACTTATTGACACAATAAACATGCTAGACATCAGTTGAGCAAATTCAGCCCCCAGAGGGAAGGGCTTGTTTGGTAGGGCTTGGGGGTCTCTCAGTCATACCAGCTTAGAGGTCCTAAGTTTGAAACTTCGGGTAAGCTTAATACCAAAAACCCTTGATGTCTCCCAAGCCGGGGCTTTGGGGCAGGTGGAGTTGCCATGGGTATAGGAAGCAAAGCTCCAACTCTCAGTTAAAAAAAAAAGGCACAAGTTGAGCAAATTGAATACAACTGCAACCCTTTTTAGATACATGTTAACGTTGTTGTGTAAGTACAATAGACAGGTGTTTTTGAGACTCATGACAAACCATCATTAGATATACGAACTAGATTATTCCAACTTTTATTTAAACAAAAATAGTGATATAGAACAAAATAATAAAATTTGAGAGTAAAATATATCAACTTCATGTTGCTAAGGACATAAATACATACACTTATTGACTTTGAGTTTTCTTCTGGTACAAAAATAATATGAAATTTAAAGTGTCATATTCTAATAAACATGTCCTTTTCATGTCTATGCCTTAGATTTTAAGAAAATAATGTGTCATCGTGCTACGTCCATATCCATATTTCACTCAAGTTAATTACTTAAACCATTAATTTGTACAGTTTGAATCCCTTTTCTTTTTTTCATTCTTTGTTTTTTTTTCTTTTCTTTCTTGATGATCACTACGAACTATCATGCTTCACACTCTTAAAAATTCAATGCAAAACATCACACCATGTGTGGTTAAAAGTTTCCTGCATAATTTTTCCTCCTCTTCCCTGCTATTTATCATCTTTCGGAACCACAATGTTTCATCACTAAGCATCCATATGAATAATGCCTAATTTTTTAAGAAGCTTTTGGACACATATATGTTATATTTTCTCCTCAGGTGAAATGTGCAATTAGTTTCTCAAGTTTCTAGTTTTTGTATGATAAAAGACTTTTTCAAGATTTAAAGATGATGCTTCATGCAGTGTAACGACCCAGGCCCACCGCTAGCAGATATTGTCCTCTTTGGGCTTTCCCTTTCGGGCTTTCCCTTTCGGGCTTCCCCTCAAGGCTTTAAAACGCGTTTGCTAGGGGAAGGTTTCCACACCCTTATAAATGGTGATTTGTTCTCCTCCCCAACCAATGTGGGACATCACAATCCACCCCCTTTCAGGGCCCAGTGTCCTCGCTGACACTCTTTCCTTCCTCCAATCGATGTGGGACCACCCCCAAATCCATCCCCTTTGGGGCCCAGTGTCCTTACTGGCACACCGCCTCGTGTCTACCCCCCTTCGGGGAACAGCGAGAAGGCTGACACATCGTCTGGTGTCTAGCTCTAATACCCTTTGTAACGACCCAGACCCACCGCTAGCAGATATTGTCCTCTTTGGGTTTTCCCTTTCGGGCTTCCCCTCAAGGCTTTAAAACGTGTCTGCTAGGGGAAGGTTTCCACACCCTTATAAATGGTGATTTGTTCTCCTCCCCAACCAATGTGGGACATCACACGCAAATAACATTTGATTGATTGAAGACATGAATCAAAGTGATCATTGCAAAATTGTATTTGTTACAGGAAGAAATTGAAACACAACCAAAACTTGAAAGACATGATATTCAAGAAATTCAGGCTTTTTATCAGAAATTCTATAAGCACAATATTGAAGAAGGAGAATATACCAAGCGACCGTGAGTTTCTTTTTCCTTCTTTCACTTGTCATACTTTTGGTTTGCACACTGTTTACACTCTTTGATTTCCTTTGAGTCTTGAAGGGAAGAGATGGCTAAGATTTATCAGATAGCGACCGTATTATATGAAGTACTAAAGACAATGGTACCTGCATCAAAAGTTGATGAAAAGGCATGAGTCTTCAAACTTTCCATTCAATAAATAATTCACCCTAAAAATCATGAAATAATTTGTTTGATTTGTCGTCACAGACAGAGCAATATGCCAAGGAGGTCCAAAGGAAAAAAGATCAGCATAAACATTATAACATTCTCCCCTTGTTTGCTTTGGCGGTTAAACCAGCTATCATGGAACTTCCCGAGGTTAATATCAGAAGTCTATATGATATTGTGTTTGCTTTAGTTCACTACTTAATTTTTGTGCCCTATACTTGCTTTCATCATTATTGTGTAGATTGAAGCAGCAATTGAAGCATTAAAGAAGGTGAACGATCTTCCAATGCCCCAAATTCATTCAACCAGCAATCCTGATGAAAATCCGTCCATGCTAACAGAGAGGGTGAAACCTGTAAATGATATCCTTGATTGGCTGTCCTCTATTTTTGGGTTTCAGGTAACTTTTATTTTGGAGGCTTTAGTTACAATGGAATTTCTTTTAGTGCTACTGATTGTTGCTTCTGGAGGTAATCTGGCTCTAATCTCAATATCATTGGAGGGCGTTTAGGGTTTATTTGATATTTGATACAATATCAAGTCTTAGTTTCTTATAGATAGGGAATTGTGAATTTGTGATCCAATTTCCAAGCTCTATACCATGCATCCAATCATCTGCAAATTTGACTCAGGACTGTTTACTGCCTTTTCATTTGTCCTGTTATTTGTGCCAAATAAGGTTTTGAAAGTTCACATTGGGGGTTTTCCATGATAATTGAGATTGATTTTTCTTCTCTTTAAATAAAAAATCGATGTTTTATTATTATTATTATTATTTTACTTTCTCCAGGTTAAAATTCTTTTAGATTTGTTACGCCCAACTTTAGTGAGTCTAGTTGTGTTACTATTTGGATATAGTAAAAGGGAAGGTAAGATCTGCTAACTTCTATTATTTCTTCTTTGGATATGAAGAAAGGAAATGTAGCAAACCAGAGGGAACACTTAATTCTGCTTCTTGCAAATATTGATATAAGAAATAAGAATCTGCAAGTTCCTCATCAGGTAAATCATTTTGCAGATTTGCGATATTATGTACTGTTGGGTCTATGATGTGATCTTAATTTGCTATGAATATCCATATCTGCATCTCATTTTAATATTACTTGCTTGATGCAGCTAAAAAGTGGAACAGTACAACAACTGAGCGAAAAAATCTTTAAGAACTATATTTCCTGGTGTAACTATCTTCGATGCAAGCCAAACCTTGGGTACGTCTTATTACCATATATAACGTCAACATTAATTTATGTCAACATTAAATTTCATTCATTCTGTCATCTGTGTTTTATATTGTTATTATATCAACACTTACACTATTTATGAATGGCTTTATTTATTTATTTTAGAATTTTTTTGACATCATATGGATGTTTTTATTTAAGCATGTATTTTTACATTATTACATATAATTTGTGTTAAATTCATTATGCAATTTGAACATTTGAGAGCTACTACCAAGTTCATTGTTTATGTATTTGGGTTCCCTCTTGGTCATCATTCTTGCAGCTTATCTACTGGGTAAATTGTCTACTTTACCTTTCAGGTTTCCTCATAACTGTGACCGGCAACAGTTGCAGCTTATTTATATCGGACTTCATCTTCTTATCTGGGGTGAAGCTTCAAATATTCGCTTCATGCCTGAATGTTTATGCTACATTTTCCACAATGTATGTGTGTTTTCTTATTACGTTGTTATTCACTTATAATATCTGATGAATTTATGTTTATTTGTTAGTTCTCAAAAGCTTGGTGCCCTTGATGTCATTAGAATATCAAATAAAATTGCTGTTTCTGTCACTACTATTTATTAGCGCCATCTTGACCTGATCATGAAAAACTTACCTGATTATGACTAGTTTAGTACTATTTCCATAATCATCATTATTCAGAAGTCTGAATAGCCTTAAAATCAATAATAGATTTTTAGGTTCAATTTTTTCTGAAGAGTTATGTTCAGCATTCATCTTTTCCTGCAAGTTAGGTCACAGTAATATGTCCACAGGGAATTACATAAATGATGAGACAAGGTAATGATACAGGGTGAAGACTGAATTTAACTCCAATTTTACATGGTAAGCTAGTTAACAATTAATTGCATTGGAGCCAACAAGTGATTGGTCCATGGGCTTTACGTAGATGCCAGCAAGTTAAGGGAGTTGGAGGTGAGGGATAATTTCAGAAGCATGACAAGAAACAGGAGGGGGGAAGGCCATGCGGTTGCGGGG